CTCGCCGGCATCAAACTTGAAGGAGGAGATGCCGTACTTGTGGCGGAGCTGTCGCAGGTGGCTCTGGAACCAGTCCCGAGCCGCTGGGTTGGTGAAGTCCAGGATGGCCCCAATGCCGTTCCACCACTCCACCATGGCCGGCAGCCGCCCCGAGGGCTCCTTGATGAACAGCTGCCGCTCAATCCCCACCCCAAAATTGGAGGAATCTCTGTGTATGAAAGGATGAGTCCACAGGGTCACCTTAAACCCATCCTCCCTCAGTTTTGTGAACATCTCCGTCACATTGGGGAACTTGATGGGGTCAAAGTCAAAGTCCCCGTACGCTTGCGTGTACGTGTCGTCGATTTCAATGTGACTGCAGTTAAAACGGTACTTCTTAATCTTTTCTGCAAATCTCAGGAGTTTATCCTGGTCGATATCGTTTTTGTACAGGGCCCAGGTGGACCAGATCGGGTAGCGGAAGGCGTTTTCGGAGGGGATCTTGGAGGGCTTGTTGAAGTACCGGCGCACCATGTACTTGTGGATGGAGGTGACGTCCGAGCCCACGCACACCCGGTAGCTCAGCTCGGGGAAGGGCTGCTGCCCCGGCGGGGGCTTGTAGGGTGAATCCTTGTAGCGGGCCTGGAAGAAGAGGGTGCGCTCCGTGGCGTTGAAGCCCAGGTGGAAGGGCACGGAGTCGTTGATCTTGATGGCCGCCGCTTTGGACGAGAGCCAGTAGCGCTCCAGGATGCCCCCAAAGCTGTCCCGGAAGGAGTAGACGTCACTCGTCACGTAGGGCACGGGCTCCTGGTAGCCCGCGAGGCGGATGGGCCAGTGCTGGGTGCTCATCTCCGAGCCCCCGTACCAGTGGGCATCCTCCCAGAACATGGTGTGCTCCACCGCCACGCCGGCCGCAAACTCCTCCCAGCGCACGCGGTCGCCCATCACCGTGTCCTTGGGCTTCCTGAAGAAGTTCAGCGGCCCCCCGTCTGACCGCGTGCAGCTCAAAATCTCTCCCTCCTTGGAGCACGACTCCAGGTCGAGGCTCCCCGACCGGAAGGCCAGTCGGAAAACCACCTCCCCGTTCTGGTTCTTGATGACAAACCCGTCCGGCCGCAGGTCCATCAGCTCCGTCTTCAGACGCTCCGCTTTCCGCCGGGACACCGTGTAGTAGCACCAGGCCACCACAGCAGCAATGAAGAGGATGAGGCCAAGCACGATGGCCCCGAGCATGGGCTTCAGCTCCTTGGAGGGCTTCTGCTTCACCGGGGTGAAGTTTTCAGGCAGGAAGGTGTACATGACGCTTGCTTCCTTTAGCGCTTTGTTCAAAGGAGCAGGAAGAAAGACGTCTTTGCAGGAAGTCCTGCAGCTCAGAGACTGGCAGGTGTCTTGCTATCTGTCTATGGAGATGTTACTAGGCGCTCAAGAGAAGCGAATGGGCTGTTAAGAGAGTTCCCACCTCCATTATGTCCCAGAGCACCAGCCTGTGAAAAAGAAGAAAGATATAAATAGTTTCTGAAGAGTCTCAGAATCAAAGGATTACTTGTCATCTCCTTGCCATCTCAGTTTCAGTAGCTCTGCATGACCATCAGGACGCAATGTGCCAGATGCTGTACACGAAACAGCAGACACTGCCTCAAAATACCCCCAGGGAGACGACACATGTGGAGAGCTGCCTGCCCCCTCCCATGCACAGAATAACCCCGGGGGCCATAAATGCCAAATCACTGCCTTAATTATTTGGGGAGAGGGGGAACGAGAACCAGCAAGGAGGGAATCATTACTGGATGGACAGGGAGGGAAGACAGGGCAGGGGCAGGGGCAGGGGCAGGAGGTGGAGAGGTGAGGCAAAGAGGCTGAGCGGGAGCAGCGCTGGTGCACAGACAAGTGTCTTTTACTGGATAGGGCTAATTAACAGCCATAAGAGATACCATGCAATGAAATCCAGCAGCTGATCCTAATTTTAATCAAAAAGTTTTCGCGGCAGATTTAATTCAGATCATCTACTGTGCCCTTCCCTCCCTGTCCCCCGCTTGCCCCGGCTGCTCCAGGTTGGGCTTGTACCCAAGGACACTTTGCAGCAAAGGTAGATGAATCCTATTTTTTCCACATCCCCTGATAGCCAAACGGAGCTGGGCTATACAGGCAACTCATGGCTGGCTCCGGGGCACACAGCAGGTGCGTTATGCAGCGAAGCGGGGATGCAGGAGGTATCTCAGCCCGAGCACCAACCACCCCACGCCGGAAGAGAGCGGCTCGCTCCTGCCACGTATGCAAATCCCTGCAACCACTCCCTGCGGGCAGGCGAAAGATTAATTTTGTTGGGCGGGGGCCACCAAACGGCTTTTCCTACAGGACAGCCAAGCCTCAGCCGGCCGCGGTTCAACTCCAGCCCGCGCCCTCCCGCACGGCTGCTGGGAACAAGGTTGCTTATAAAGCTAGTGCGGATACGCCAAGATCCTAATGGATTTCTCTTGGCTGCGGGCTCACTCGGCCCAGCCAAGCACAGCGCTGGGATTCAGAGAGGCGAAAAGTAAAGTAAGGACATGGGAGAGCGAGAAACGAAACCCCACGGAGGAGGAGCGGAGGGAAGGGGAGAAGCTGCAGAGGAGCGGGCGACCGGGCTGCGGGCCGCGGGAGCAGCAGGCCCCCGCCACCTGTGTAACGCCCGGCAAACCGGAGGAAAAAACCTCTTTCCCAGCAAGAATGAAGCTGGTCGCAGTGATTTCCTCGAAGGGTTTAGTTTGTTTTCAGAAGAAAAAAAGTGTTCTAGAGCGAAAATGTGATTTCTCCTTTCGCCTCATCAAAATTGAGCGCTCTCCCTGCTGCATTCGTTGCAAGAGCACACTTTCCTCTGCACTTTGAACAGATCTTTTTCCCAGAAAAAGAAAATAAAGCAGGCCAAGCCGAAATCTGTTTCTTCCACCAACTTCTGTGAAATCTATTTATTTCCTCCCTTGGCTCGACAGAGCGTATGAGCACGATACACAGCGACCGCGCCGCGCCGGGGTAAGCAGTGCTGCGCTGCACCGGGGGGTGGCAATCAGCTACCGAGCAGCACCGCGGAGGCCGCACAGCACGGGGACACCATGCAGCACCGCCATCGGGTTCAGTCCCGCCAGGACCCTCCAGTCTGTCGAGCGTGAAACAACCGCACAAGTATCAGCAGCGTCCAAAGGACGCACACGCGGAAACCCAAGCAGCCGGGCCGCGGCGCCTGGGCATGGGGTCAAGAAACTATGCTGCATTTTATATTTGTCCTGAAGTGGATATTGGGCCAGATGTTGCAGCTGGAGGGACCTTCTCATTGCAAGGAGCCGACCTGGTGGAAAAAGCCTGGGAGCAGATGAGGCTTCCTGCATCCCGTCGGCACAACAGCCACTGCCAGGCCTCAGGCTCTGCCCTCAGTAGGATATTCATCTCTGGCCCCCGGGCTACGTGTTTCTTTTAAGCATTTCAGTGTTTCCAAGCAGAAATCAAACTGCAGCCCACGGCTGAGCCGGGAACTGGAGCAGCTCCTATGGCCAAGCCCTGCTGCCCCGCTGCGAGAGGGTACGGGCCAGCCAGAGCATCCTACAGTCCTGTTCCCCCGGGGCCAACTGCAGCTCCTAGGGCAGGACTGAACATCCATACGGCTTTTCTTTTTCGAGGGTGGCATCACGGCCATATCCCCCAGATGTGGCCCTGCTCCCGGCACTGGGAGCTCGGCGACGCGTGTTACTGGGCAGACGCTGGGAACCAGCAGGGATGGAGCGAGCCGAGCAGCGATGAGAGGGCAATTTGGGCTGCGGGGAACTGGAAGTGGGACAAGGATGCAACTGGTGACCGGAGGAGATGAACACACCAGCTCAGACTGTCCCAGGACGGTTATTTAACCATCTACTGTAACTTCCTAGCCTGCCGGCTGCTTTAAATGGGATTAGGGTGGAATTAGGAAGCGATTAGCCTGACTGGGTGATAGCTTTAGCTAAAGGACTTGTACCGCAGCCAAGCGCCACCGAGCCCCGGGAGCTTTCACTCGCCGGCTTGG